TGTTGGATCAGAAGAGGGGGTAGCAAGACTCAAAAGAAGTGGTGGAAGCTAATACCATCATGCATATGGTGGTCAGTGTGGAAGGAAAGAAATGGGAGATGTTTTGAAGATAGATCTAATTCCATTCACAAAGTAAAATGGAATTGTTTGGTATCTTTACTTTTTTGGTGTAAACAACTTTGCATAGAAGATGTAGATCAAATTATAGAATTAATAGGGAGCTTGTAATTTCGCTTAGGGCTGTAAATTTTGAAGGTGGCCAGCATGTCCTTAATGCTGAAGAATACAACTTTACCAATGTTCAAAAAAAAAAAATTAATAGTTGAAAACACCCACTTGAAAGCTGACTTTTCCAATTTTTCTTCGCTCCCACGCACCTAAATGAGAGTACATTCACTCTCTTTGCCACATCAGCGTGTCAAGACTATCAAATTACCAAATTAAGGAACAGGTCAATGCAAAGTTTAAGTGTGAACCAAATAAAACTCGACAAGTCTATGGGGTCCCGATCAATTCTGCCTCAAATTAATGAAAGAAGTACATGATTATTAATTTATTATAATAAAATAACAATTATTGAATTGACATTTTGCTAACTTAATTAAGATTAATGGATGACTTTTAGTTTTAAGGTAATCACTACATCACCAAAATGTGCCAAGCCGGCTTTAACCGAGGCAAGCTAAATTGTTGAGCTAAATATAGGTGAGTCAATCCCCGAGCCGGCTCAGTTCGTTGCCCAGGCCTACTCTTAAGCATCCCTTGTTATCTACTACATAGCAACTCTCCTACAATAAATAACAAATCTGAACAACAGAAACAAATTTGTTTGACATGCACCCAAATCTTGCTTTCATGTAGAAGCTAGAATTTTCAGCTAAGCTCCTCAACAGAAATCCTAATTACCCATCCATGACAAGCAACTAGTTAGCAGTGGAACTTATGAGTCTGGTAAGAGCTGACATACCACAGGGGAGAACTGAAAAGTTTCACTATAGATAGAGAAAATCAATAGAGGTCTCAATAGATGACGCATAATATTAATTTTGGTACATGATCGCAGCAACTAACTCTTTCACGAAGCAGTATTATCAAATGGAGCACAACTAACCCGAGAAGTTGTCCCCCCACTGTCGTTCAACTCCTTCAACAGCTGCAGCAATTGCACTTCCCTGTTCTGCAGCCTTCTCCATCCTTGATATAGCATCAAAAAGGCATTTTGTGATATCCAGCAATGCTATAACTTCACCATTTTCCACAACAGGAAGATGGCGGAATTTACCTGTTGATATGAGCAAAACATGACAACATAAAAATCAGAATAAAGAAATAAGTCTCTTATCAGATTACTTCAAGGTAGAAATTTGTAAATACACACTGAATGTAGGGTATAAAAGTTCTATTAGGCAAAAGAAATACTAGTATTAATAATCTAGCAGGTTTAACACCAGATCAACGTGTATCTCAAGTACAAGACAAGCCCATTAACAAGCAGCTTCCAACTTCGTAAACTAAAGCAATATGCCCTGTCCTGTGCCAGTTTCAATTGCTACTTCACAATTTTCATGCTAGTCACAGTCACAGGAATGGAAAAGGCAATACTAATCCCGCTATATTAATTTTAAAGTAATTCATTGATGAAACTAGGTCCAGGTCTATGAACATTTGTTATGATCTCCGCTCTTTTTTAATGGGGGAGAGAGATAATATGAATATAATATGTCAAAAAAGACACCTTGCACCATCTTCTGAAGGGCTTCAATAGCCAATGAATCTGCAGTCACAAAAATGGGGTTCCTGGTCATGACCTTCGAAATAATTGTTTGCTCAGGCCTCAACTCCTCAGCTATAACCCTAGTTGCAATATCCTACACAGAAATCCGAATGTAAAAAATCAATAAGGCAAGACAGCGAGAAAGAACTAATTCTCAATGCTTCTATAAGTGTCTTTAGTTTTACTTTTGTAAATGTACCTTCCCTAAGAGTTGTCACTTCCTTTCATTTTAATAGTCTAACAACTCTCTAGTCTACTCATAGATAAGGGAGGAATAGCCTTGCCATGAAGTTGGGGGTTCTTGTCACCAAGGGAAAAGCAGGAAAAAGACACCATTGGGCTCCTGTGGATTTGGGGAGAAGAGTTGGGTTTTACCATATCTAGAACAAAATACTCAAATAAAATGAAAAAAAAAAAAGATATAACAGCCTCCTGATCTACTTATCTATTTGTTTGGTCTCATTGAACACTATCAAGTTCATTGAATGTTAATTATACAAAACTCTATAATTATTTTTTTAATAAAGGTATCACCCTATAATTGATAGAATGGATATTTTTGTTCTTCTTGAACCAACTAAGTTCTGCAGAGATGCATAAACCCTAGAGTTTTAAAAAAAAAAATTACAAAAAGCAGTACACCAAACATGTGAATGCATTCACCAAAGCAATAACATAAAATGAAAAAAGAAAGGGAGCAAGAAAATGATCATTTTCAGAAGACCTTGTCAGTTACTATGCCAGAGAGTAAGGCATTTGTGTCAGTCAGTAGAACAGCATCAATTCGTCTCGCTGCCATCCGCCGACATGCCTCGGACACGGTGGTTCCCTCCGGAATTGTCAGTGCCTTCGATAACCTTAGCTTTTTCACTGTCCTCTCCCCAGCAACGGACCTAAAAGAAGACATGTGAGCATCCAAATGAACAAAACACACCCACCACCATGCATAAACATTATCACAAAAGTAAGATGCACACTAGCATTTTGTAAATTATATGGTTTCCCCTACAACAACTGTTTTTTTGTTACCAAAAGTTCTCTTTCAAACTTAGTGAAACTTTTTGTAAAGGTAAAGGTAATATTATTAAAACAGTAGCAAGAAGGTACTAGAAAAGATGATAAAATTACGGTTTCCCTATTGAGTCAAAAAGATTTCCCAAAATTGTGTCTGAACATTTAATACAGAATTTGTAAACATTTAAGCTTTAGAAAAGAAATATGGTATGGCCTTCATTCAAAGCATCTCATGTTTCTTTCGAGCCATATATTTTGCACCTGCTGTCGACCTTGCCAACATGTTGTAGCTTCCTTGCATCTAACCGACACATATTCACTATGTTTTCTTGAGTTTTTTCTGTTGTATGTATTGAAGTTTCTGAGGATTTATTGCTTTAATTTCAATAGATAATAGGTTAATCGGATCAGGTGTAGTAGATTGAATGAAAAGCAAATAGGTTGACTTCCATATAATAAAACATAGAAAGAAAGAGATATTTGTATCTTACGAGTGAGGTGGAGAAGAAGGCTTGCTCTGGCTAGTAGGATTGGTGTCAGATTGATTGACAGATTTCTTCAAAGTTGAAATGTTTCGTTTCTGTACCAAACTATTGCGCCTGGGCGCTGGAGGCACTTGACTACTCATATTTTTTTCCAGAATTTAAACATACATACATACATATATAATGATAATATGTCTAAGGCATCAACAAATCCAGAGAGAATTCAATGGGGTTTGGGAGGTGGCTGGGAAGATTTGCCGTGCCCTAATCCAAACCCTCTCCACTCCAAATCTTTTTCTTTCGCTCTCTCTCCCACCTCTTTATTTTCTTATCATTAATGCTACCTTTTTCTGAACTTCTCTTTTCTTACCCTACGTGGATGGTTTTGTTTTGTTGCACTCAAAATTTTACATCTCATAACTATGTTACTATGTCCGTCCACATTTATTTGTCGTACTTTTAAAAGTTAATTTGACATTGTCAAAGTTAAATTATATTATACTAAATAAATTATCCGTGCTTTGCACGTAATTAAACTATTTTATTAGGCTTACATATGATCATTCAGTAATATTCGTATTTTCGATACATATACTACATTGTAAAGAACAGTTTGTCTTAAGGTAAAGTGGTCCTCCGAAATCTTAAAGTGTTATATTTTTTAATTTCCGTCTTTGTTATACAAAAATTATGAGTCATAGAGAGATTTTGAAGTATAAGAAAGAAGTTTGATCATTCAGTAATATTCGTATTTTCGATACATATACTACATTGTAAAGAACAGTTTGTCTTAAGGTAAAGTGGTCCTCCGAAATCTTAAAGTGTTATATTTTTTAATTTCCGTCTTTGTTATACAAAAATTATGAGTCATAGAGAGATTTTAAGTATAAGAAAGAAGTCTAAGAAAATCTCCATGGAAATAGTTGGTCAGAAGTAATCAAATTTTCTAAATTCCAAAAAGTTATATAGAACAACATCAGACGTTAAAGAAGAGACAATAAAGTGTCGAACAACAACATTCCCAAATAAAGTGAAACATCATGTCCATACAAGAACATAATTAACTAAATTCAAATGGAGGACCTTCGAATCTTTTCTTATGAACCTCCATCAATCTTTTTTTTATTATAGTATGTTGTATCATGTAAATGTTAAAAATGACCCTAAAATTGTTAGTATCACAAATATTTTTCCTCATTCTCTCGAAATAGTCATTACTATTGCTTAGGTTTCATATCACCGACCCCAACTTATTTAGAATTGAACCATAGTTATTGCTATGGTTATAGTATGCAGTTACAAAGAATTAATGCAATTATCAACCAAGTAGTAGGTGGCATCTGAATGGAACTGTTCACAACTGGATATTCTAAACCAAAATTTTGACACACAACATATTAAAATCTCAGAGCATGATTTTTTGAGCACTTGAACTCACAAATATCCACAAATAATAATAATAACAATCTTACTTTCCTAACAATCAAGAAGAAAAAGGCATGTTGATTAACATATTTTTTCAAAGGTTGTATCCATATTTACAGTTCACAAATTCAATTGAAAGAAGTCAAAAGAAAGAGTTATTACTTCTTTATAAAAAAACAAAAAAACTTTATCAAAAGAAAGAGTTATCACTAAAGCAAAAATGATCTTTAACGATAATTAATAGTTTAATTGTCGCTAAATATGTATTTTCAGAGGCAATTGGTACGCTCTATAAATGTCCCTAAAGTCTATAGCAACATTGAATCTAATGAGGATTAATTAGTGTTGGTAAAGGCTCTAGCACTCTTCATTAATGTGCACATTTACTGCCGATTAAAACTATTTTTGTTATAGTGTATTTTGGACATTTGTTATGTTCAAGAAAACTTGATCTCTTATTATGCCCAAAAAGAAGAGACGAAGAAATATGGCTAATTAGTTAACTTGCGTTAAAAGAAGTGTACTAATTGTCTCTATAGTAATATTCTAGGAAGAGTGCAATGACATATAAAATGTTTCTACCTAAGAAAAACAATCAAAATAATATACTAATTGTGGCAAGCAAGAGAGCAATCCTTTTGGTTCTTTTAACAAACTTCATCATTGATTTCGTATTAGTTATCACATATTTGTTGTTGTGTGCTATAAAATATAGCACAACCCACAAGTAATTTTCCCAAAATGTATATGAAGAAACCTATAAAAAGGGACAAAAGAAAAGATAATTTTCAAACAACCTCACTGAATTTTTAACATAGTTCAAAAAAAGTCACCAAAATAACAAAAAGAAATTGCAATAGATACATGAATCACAATGACTGACAGTGAAAGATTAAGTTTCATGAAATAGGAGGAAGAAAATTTTGAGGAATGAAAAACACCTCATAAGAAGCTTAATTAATGTATCTGAATTCAACTCTCCTATAGCAGAAAAAAACCTACAAATAATAGTGGCAGAAATAAAAGTTTTGTTTACTAAAGAACCAAATGTAATGAATTCAACCATTTCAGCAGCATTATCTGTTGTGGACTGAGAGGTGCAAGAGTAGTAATGTCGCATTGTAATGGAAATCAATTTTCTTTGTTTATATGAAGATACATGTAGAAAGGGACAAAAGAGAAATCAATTTTCAATCAACCTTGATAAAAATTTTAACAGAGTAAAAAAAAAGTCAACAAAAAAGCAAAAAGAAATTGTCATAGTTACATGAATCACTATGACTTAAAGTAAAGATTAAGCTCCATGAAAAAGGAGGAAGAAAACTTTGAGGAATGAAACAAACTTCATAAAAAGCTTAATTAATGAATTTGAATTCGACTACCCTATAGTGGAAAAAAACCTACATATAATAGTGGCAGGAACTTTCTCTATTTATAGACAACAAAGAGTAGTATGAACAAATCCTTATAGTGCCGTACTGGAAAGGTCACAACTCTTTGGAAAAGTTACAATTCTTCGGAAAGGTCACAACATTTAATAAAAGTCATAATTTTTCATAAAAGTCGCAACTCTTCATAAAAGTCACAACTTTTCATAGAAGTCACAACTTTTCATAAAAGTCACGACTTTTCATAAAAGGAGAAGGCTAGTTTTGGAAATAAATAAATTAAAAGGGAATTCTGGTTTGTGATGGCGCCACATAGGCGGGCTCAGGGTTCTCTTTTATATAAATATATGATTAATTCGATATTTTAAACAAAAAATTTAGATATCTAAAAATTATACTAAAAGTACTATAAATTGTATTTTCTTGCTTATCAATATGATGAAAAATACATCGTAAAATATTTGTTAAAGTTCTTATAGTTTGAATCTAAAAAGGAAACCACGACAATTAAAAGTGGACGGATGAAGTACATGTCTTAACCTCTTCATTTTGTGATGGTTAGACATTAATGCTATTTTTTTCCATTAATTTATGATACCTGCATTATTTTATCGCAATTATTTATTTATAACTTCCCATAAATTGCCTATGTGTTTTTTTTATCTATATGCTAGTTGTAACTGTTTTTCATAACTGACATTTCGTTCATGAAAGTCTCACTTTCAATCAATACATACGTGATGTTGGGACTTTAGGTTTGTCACAAATTCTTTTCAAAAACTCCATTTTAGAGAGTTGTCATACACGTGGTGGAGCGCATAGTTTTTCTACTATGGAACCATGTACCTTCTCGAATAAGAATATCTTTCGTCTGTATCTATCCAATTCTTAGAAACTTGAGATCATGCTATATCCACCTTATAATTAGGTCAAGCATGCATCAGGCTTAGGTGGTTTGACCCTTGGTGTCAATCCACATTATTAGACGTCATTTTATTGTCTCAAGGGTTTCGACACCCACTAGACAAATGCATAATTATGTGTCAATGTGATCATGATAAATTAGATTTTTGTTGTTTTATTTGCATATTCACAATGGCTTCACCAAATTTTGTCAATACTCGAATAGTGGTGGAAGTGTAACATAAGCTTAATAAATGGTGGGAGAACATTAAACAAGATCATGTTAGGGAGGTTTGTCAACTATTGAGTTTCTTAACATTTCTCATTTATGTTACCCCTGATCGATACCTGATCAAAGCTTTGATAAAGTTCTGGGATCCTATAAGAGTGGTATTTCGATTTCGCGATTTTGAGTTATCGCCCACCATAGAGGAAACTGGTGGGTTCATTGATTTGCAATACCATGAGAAGAGCATTATTGTATCTCAGAGACAATATGAAAACAAGTTCTTAAGTTCTCTAGGATTAAAAAAGAATGTCATATTGGCATATTTGGATTTTTGTATGAAATCTTTAATTGCAAGGACGACTATAAAGCATTCAACAAAAAATTCCGTGCTCGACTGAAAAGTGGGAGAAGAAGTGTTTGAACATTTTTGTCATCGCATGGTTGGGAACATTTGTTTTTCCTAAAGAAAATGGAAAAATTGACACATGCTTAAGCTTCGTGGTCCAAGTTTTTTCCCCAGGAGGTTGCAATATTGAGGTAACCTTGGTGCCAATGATATTGGCATAAATGTTGAGGGCTCTATCCAAATGTGCTAAAGGAAAGAGATTTTTTGAGGAATGCAACTTTTTGCTTCAACTTTGGGCCATAGAACACTTTAACAAGTGGCCCAACATGACAGACATTCTCACCAGAGTTGGCAGCAAAATTATTACACATTCACGAAGAATGGCTAAATTTATTGAACCCGTAGGAACCGAAGATTGGCATTCATGAAGAAACTTTTTGATTATCGCATCCAATGAAAGTAATTTTGGTTGTCCTCCCTCGGTGCTCTTATAAAAGGTTATGAGCTTCATTAGATCGAGCTCATTGGCCTAAAGGGTCTCCAACTGTATGCTACTCTATGAATGCTTCGTCAGTTTAAGCGAACCCGATTCATTCCATTGTGGTCCAACATGGATAAATATGAATATGATTTTGGGACAAAGATCCCACAAATTCACCACATACTACAAAAGCGGGAAAAGTTAATGAATATGAGTGTTTGTAATGAACAAGTCTTTTGCACGCTTGGGTATTATGTGTAGATTCTATAAGATACTGAGAGTGTGGATTGTAGTAGAGAAGGACATCATGGGTTTAAGATGAGAAGAAAACTGCTTGGGCACACGACCTGTTAAATTGTTCCTACAATATCACTCCAAAGATGAAAAGGCAAATTGCTCCAAGCTTTGAGAATCAGTGACATATAGGTATTGAACTTTAGGGTTTCCCCCTTGTCATCTCATTTTTCCTTAGTTTTTATTTTTTTGTTTTTCTTGCTTTTTCATTCCAATAAATCTATTAGCTTTAATTTAATAAATTGAATGGTTCGTTTTCCTTTTAATTC